AAGCGTCCAGGGGGATGAGTCGCTGCACCAACTCTTCTTGCCTGACACCTGTCAAGATCCCGTGCTTGATCCAGGCTTCCTCACATTCCCGGCTGTGCACCTTGCAGACATCAATCTCCCCCGACAAACTCTTCAAACGTACAAAAAAGTCGTCAAAGGATTCATTCTCCGCCTGCTTGCAGCTGGTGAAGGCGCAGCGACGCAAAGCCTCATTATTCCGACCCTTTACGTGCTCCTGTAAAAGATCGAGCACATGCGTCACTGAAGACGTAGAATCGGGAGGCACTTGCAACGTGTGCTCCAAAATTCTCTGGGTCTCCAGCGACAAACACATCTGGAGTTGGATGAGCTGTTTGTTTGGAGGCGTGCTATCAAGGTCCACCATCGTGGAGTAATCTGTCCATCGCAGCCTCCACTCAAGAAAAAGCTGAAACATGACGTCTGGTGAGAGGGCGGGTGGGGTTGAACAGATGCCTTGGGAGCTGTTGGAGTAGCAAGAGTGCCTGGAGGACGCTGGTGTGGTGGAGGAGGGAGGGTATTGGCGCCTTGATGCGCGCTACCTGCGAGTGAGGGAGTGTGGGTTAGCGCCAGGGTCGCCAATATTGCATCAAAACGCGCCTTTTCCTCCTCTCTTTGTATCTCCTCCCTCTGAAATTCCATCTCTCTGTGTCTCTAGTCCCTGTCGTCCATCCACCTCAGAATTGTGGCAATGTCCGTCGCTGGAGGTGGAGGATGAGAGGCGGTGGGCGTAGAAGTTGGGGAGTCGTGTCTCCCATCTTGATGTTTTCCCTTCTTACCGCCCATCTTAGTATGCTTGAACTGCGCTGTTTAGTAAATAAAGTGGCGCCTCATCAGCTCGAACCACATATATATGACGTAAACAGCGCAGAAATAAAGCATAGAGTCCACTGTTCTGTCCGTGAGTGCGTGCGTGCGTGTGTGTGTGTGTGTGTGTGTCTCAGAGAGCGGAGCGTGGTGGCTCGCGGAGGCAAGACCGTCAGTGTCTCCCTGGATGTCACACGAGAAGGGTGTACGCCTGCGTGCTCCGTGGGTACCACAAAAAAGAGACCAATGCTCAACTCTCAGCTCTAGACACACTAATACACTGACACTAACACTGCCACCGTCACTAAAACGCACTGTGACGGCGCAACACTACACGTCGCGGCGAAACACAACGCAACACAACACAACACACTGCCACGCGCATCACCGGCAGACATAACTGTCTCGGCAGTGTTCACAACACTTGTAAGTCCACAGATCCTACTCACTGCGCCATGAAGGTTCCAAGTGTTCCCTGAAGAAGGCAGTGATGGGTAGGGAAACACTGGGTAACACTGAAGTCCATTTATTAACGGATAGGGAGAAATACAAGTAGTGACTAGCGCGTACCATGCACGGCCCACAGAGTCAGACTGAGACTGCATTGCCATATGGCAGCCTCGGGGCAATGTTGCCACATAACACGTGCAGTGTTGCCACGTAATTACATATATAAATGCTACTCGGCACAGTAGCTTATATACAAGGTTGCTATTCGGCACAGTAGCTTAGATACATAACCTACAGTAACATAGTTTGGTATTTTGACAAAGATTTTTTCCCATTTCTTATAAATTAACGGAGCTGAAAATATATACAAATACAATTATTACAATAAACGTTTTCCAATAATACATTAATATATTGTGAGCGGCATGACATGAACTTATTCAATATGAGATTATGAGATTGAAATATGAAAGATCAATTTCCTCGTCACAAGTGACTTGAAGAGCCGGATCTGACAGCTGTGATTGGACCATTACATACAGTATTGTATGAATTGTATCGTTATACAGTAGTTTCTTTGTCTCCTTCTCCCTCTCTGATTTTTTCCATGGTATATATGGTAATTATTTCACATGCAATATTTATCCTATATGATATTGCACTCTTTCATAATAATAATAAGTATAATGTTATGATTTGTTTGACTTAAATCATCCTGAATACATACTGCATAAGTGAGGATAATAGAAGAGGATTGTTTCCTTTACATTTATTATACAATTTGACAGATATTCATGAAAATTATATTTATTTCAGTTAACATTGAAAAAAAATTAATATCGATGTGCATTCAGTATGTGACGTTGATTACACAGGGAAGTTATTTCTGACACATTAATATTTAGTCCAGCCACCTTCATTCTCGATTACTTGCTGCAACCTGTCGGGAATGGAGGCGACGTGACTGTGTATCAGTTGCGGTTTCCGCCTCAGGATCTCCCACTCACGGTGTGTATGTTCCTGTAGCTGCACCCTGGTTCTCTCTTCAATTGGCTCCCACACGTTCACAATATTGGCCCAAACGTTCTCTATAGGGATCATGTCACAACCTTTACTTGGCCAGTCTAAAACTTGCAATTTTTTTTTTTTTTTGTTCTGCAAACCACCGCGTTACAATCCATGCAGTATGGATAGGACACCTATCGTGCATGAAAATGATGTTTTCGGGAAAGTGGAAACCATATCCACGTACCGAGGGAAGCATAACTTCTTAGAGTATTTTTAAATACTATTCAGCTGTGAATCTTCCTTCTATGTCAGTCATCTCTCCAACTCCATGCACATATATCCATCCCCAAACATTGCAAGTACATGGCCACTCGTTGCTTTCTCATAAATATGCTGTCTAGCATATCGGGTGTTGTTCCTCCTCCAGCAATGCAACCTTCTTTGAGAGGTCGAGGAGAAAGTTTTTTCGTCAGTGAATACTACTCTTCCCCAGAAATCTAAGCCTTCTTCAGCGTACCGTCGAGCAAACTACAACCTGCTCTCGTGATGTCTCTCATTTAACTTCTCCTTGGTGGCAGGAGTTCTATGGTGAATGCCTTCCTCGTGAAGTCTTCGCGTGATTGTTAAAGGGGAAATAGTTAATTGGAAATCCTCTCTTTTTGAACATGAAGTCTTGAAGGGGTGGGGGGCCTCAGCGAAATTCAGGATGGCTTCAACTTGTGCAAGTGTTGTTCCGCACGGCATTCTCGTCCTGTGGTGGTCCTTTAAACGTCCCTCCTCTTCCCATCGCTTAATCCAATAATACACAGTTGACCGACAAACTCCTAAATCTCGGGCAATTTCAGTGGGTGGAAACCCAGCCTCCTTCATGCCGATTATTCTCTCATGTTCAGTGATTTTCTGCGTGTGGTATACCCTGTTGGCAGGAGCCTTCTACAACTGAAGGAGTGGAAGGGTAGTCAGCACTGACAACACCTCTGTCTCCCTCACCTTCCCACCAATAACGTCAGCGTTATTTTTATATTTTATTAGTCATTTATAAAAAAAATAGTTGAATGAATAAATAAATAGATAAGATAAAAAATTATAATACATCATACACATATTTGAAAAAATAGATTACTTTTTTTTTAAATACACCACTAAGGGTGACGTAAAGGTATTAGGCATATGTTACCCCACTAATTCACACCATCAGACGGATGGTTCCTAAGATTAATTACCATTACCTTCAATTGAACAACATCATTATTAAATACAAACACACATGCACACACACATGCACACACACACACACACACACACTCCACATGCGTGCAACACCACACACACACACACTGCTACAGGTAGCAGTGAACCGATGATTCTGCTTAATCCCACAGCGAATTAAAACAGCAGTTTGTGTTGCATGAAATCAGCGTCTTTAGAAAGAAGTCTGTTTAGCATCGGTTACATACAACTGGATTAATTACCCGAAAGGTATTAAACATTTGAAGATAATATTAATATAAATTAATGATAAACAGGCAACCTCATACACAGCCTGCACACAGCTGTGCCCGATGCATGATGTTCTTTAACATACTTAACGATTTTTACTTATGTTTAATAGTCTAAACATAAACTCACATAGGTCGGCCTATTGCTCTATCCATTCTAAAATCAAATTAACAGTATATACCAGCAGAAAGATATAATATAATACGAAACAACAAAGCCCAACTGAACTATGGGGACTGCCTATACAGTATATTACTGTATTTATTGCCGAGTGCAAAAGTAGTTAAATTGAGCCACCGTGTACTGTATCACTCAAATGTAACAAATATTTTTGCTAGGAATGTCTCTACTATCAAATACTATACAGTACAGTATGTTAGAATGACCCCAGTGTAAGCTGTTTTGCTTAGATTTCAAGGGGTATTATGTTGAAATGCACATATTCTTAATTACAGTAATTCTTATGAGGAAAAATTCCTCATTATAAAACATTCATTATAAATCGCTTTTCTCTGGAACACGTCCCTGATATAATGAAGACCCTCCTGTATACACGTAGTATATAATATGAGGCGCCCCGCATTGTATGGGTTATTCCGGGCAAGAAATCCGCATTTAAAGTGCTTCCAACTTCAAAACATGCATAACTTTGTTGTTTTTTGAGATACAGCATTATTTTTTATGCATTTTGAAGCTAAAGGACCTTACTTGCAGTTGGTTATTGCAATGTTGACTTGAAGCAATAAAACTCCCACCCGCTTATGGCTTTTCTGACTTTAATCAATATCAGAGTGTACAGTAGCTCCCGCCACAACAAAGGAGAACTGAGGGAGAGGGAGAGAGGGATTCCACCTCATTGGCTAGAGGGGCCGTAATGCTCACTGTCATTGGCCGAGACGGGGGAGGAGGTTGTAGGCCTGCTGCTGTCACTCACTGACGGGACGAGAGCACCTGACGACGAGAAAGCCAAAGCCATGCCCATAATTTCCTGTCTGCCACAAATCGATGTTCTACCCTATTTTCAAAGGGCTTTCAACCTTATTTACAGCGTAGTAAGGAGATCTTGTCAACTACCATCGTATAGAGTTATGCTGAAAATAGTGCTTTCCAACAAAAAACGGGTTTCGCCCGGGGTGGTCTGAATGCACCTTATGATGCGGGACGCCTTATATTATGTTAAATAACTTGATACTACACCTGTTCCTTTCCTCTTCCAGTGGCTAGAGATGAACCCTGGCATTATCCAGACTGGGGAGCCTGTGGTTGATCAAATCATAACAGTGCTACTGCAGACCTCCATGTTTGTTGGGGGTACACTCGGCTTTATCCTCGACAACACTATACCAGGTGAGCTCTTAAGGGATGCTGCATCAAGTGTTATACCTCCAGTTCACTATGTTGTGTGCAGGTTGCATTGATATATGTATACAATACCAGAAAGATTTCCAGTTTTCCAATTCTGTTATAATGTTCCTCTTGGTAAAGTTTTTACATTTTTGTATTCATTTCAATTTGGAATAATTCTTATAATTTAGCAAGAACTCTGTGCAGTGGCAGTACAGGCATGCCTCTTTGAATGCAATCATACAATACTATTTCATTGTAATGCTCAGTGTTCTTGAGGAATTTTTTTAATATAAAAGAAAAGTGAGTAAACTATAAACTGGTTCAAAGGTGCCATGTGAGACCATGCAACACATACCATTGTTCTCTTTTCTCTGAACCATAGGTATAAGAGGGGGAGTCCTGGACCCCCCAGTCAACCATTATATCCGGTCCATTTTATCTTGCTTTGTTGGGTTCATTGCATCGTGTCCACACTCCCCTTGCTTCTAACAGCTCCATTGTTGTTATTGCTTGGCCCTTTGATTCAGCCCTACTTTAGAAAAATTCTTGCAGATGCTAATATGCTAACACAGTAATTTTAGGTTATGGAAATATTAGGCTGAATATGATGCATAAGTGGTTTAAAAAATCTAATGTAATGTAAATCTAACTATAATAAGTAATAAAAGTACTCTAGAAGTGTTAAGTTTCTACCATGCCAAAATACAGGTACAGTATCCCTCGATATAAGAAAGGGCTAGGTTCCAAAATCATTCAGTGAGTGAATTTTCGTATGTCAAATAACAGAGCAAATGGGAAAAATAGGGTTCGGTCCAACATGACCATATGAGAAAAATACCCCCAAAAGACCAAATAAATTCACAAATATGAAAAAATCTACCTAACTAATGACAAATAGTTTACAAGTACGGTAATTTGCTTCCTAACACATTGAAATCATTATTAAAATACAATCTAGAAGAAAATATGCAGCTAAAACTATAAATGAAAAACTAAATCAAAGTTTAACACAGCAGCCAATGGTCACATTTGCAGAGACGCTGGCTGCTTCACACGTGGCTGCCCTCGCACATCGCCATTTCAACCCAGTCCAGCCACCTTTGTCATCCCTTAGCAACGCTCCCTCTCTGGCTCTCACACACAAAGAAATTAGTATTCCCTTTATGACTTTGATCTTCTGATAGTTATTTCTTTTATTTCTAGTTTTGCACATGATGTACGTAGGATTGTGTGCCTGTAAAAAAAAGTGGAGAAAGTTACATTTATCTATCCAAAAGTACGAGTTGAAAAATAATCATAACCTAACCCTCCAGCTCATCCTGCTAACTCTTGCTGGTGCATGAAGACATGTTTATTCCCTTTATTGTATGTGTATGACTTTATGATAAATATTAATCTTTATTTTTCGGGGGGGCCCATTCTGTGCGTAGGATTGTTTGTGCTTGTTAATGCATGAAAAAATGTGAAGAAAGCTATGTTCATATATCTGGAACTACGAGTTGAAAAAATAACCATAACATAACTCATACTTCAACCTGGTTGGGAGAGCACTAGGGGGATGTGGCTGCCCCAGATGACTCCCACGGGCACAGGATTTGAATTTTTGTTAGGACCCAAATTCTAATAAGCGGGGGAAGCTTTCTTAACACGGAAAAGTGGTGGTAATTTAGGAAATTCATATAAGCGAATTTTCGTATCTTGAACGTATGTATATTAAGGGATACCTGTATGTCAGTCACCTCTCACGACTAAATGCTAATGCCATTGTTATATAGTATGTAAGTAACCGCAGAATATGCAGAAAAGTCATCTCTATGTGCTAGTGTGCCTTATGAATAAAGATAATACTATATACTGTAGATACAAGAGATTAATTAAGAGAGTAGGGGTATCTTCTATGTGGGAGATGGAGTGTATCTGAGAGTAGCAGGCAGTTTGGCAACATTCCATGACTCATCTGACTACTGTACACCTCGCCACGGACATTTAAATCATACAAGTGTTTCAAAACAAGAAAATGGAACTTTAGAAAAACCTTTATCTACTTCTTAAACGATGGAGGGTTTGCGTGTAAAGAATGGCGTTGATGTTTTTTTTTTAACTATGTTTTGGTACGTAACCGAGAGGAAGAGGGAGGGAGTGCTCGCTGGACTGAGGGGATAACTCTTCCGGGCTCATCCATTTATAATGAGAGTATGCAATTTTACCATAATTCCTATATTATTTTGGTTCATTTGGTGCTGAGTTATTAAATTATTATCGTAAAAAATCAATCGCCCCCCCCCCCAAAAAGAAATCCACACCAAATCCTTCAAGTACCATATTACTCTTTGTCAGGAACTCCAGAAGAGCGTGGCCTCCTGAAGTGGAATGCTCATCTGCAGAACCCAGAGGATAAAGATGAAGACAATATACAGAATCAACAGTTAAAATGTTATAATCTTCCTTTCTGCATGGATGCAATCAGAGGGTAAGTCAGCTATAGAAGGTCCACTGGAGAGAATTTGTATAGTTCATAAAGGTGGTTTATGGAGGGAGTATATACTGTACAGTACAGTGTAAGTATTTTCTAGAAACGGGACTAAAGAGAGAAGTGGGCATACAGTATAACTAAACCAGCGAAAACAACTTCATTGAAGTTAATGGAACAAAAAGCAGAGAAAGTGGTGATCTTTGGTATGAAGGAAATTAGGAAGACGGTATATTGTTATGCCAAAGAGAGAGAGTAGAGAAGAAGGGTTAGAACTTAGAACTAAAAATAAAGTTGCTATAGTTTGTAGTGCACATACAAAGGAAAATGGTGATTACAAACCAGAGAAACAGGATTATATAGTTGCAGGAAAAGTGCCTGATTAAGAAAAAATATTATTAGGCCTTATTAAAGGAATTGGATATGAGGAAGGTAAAGGAGGAAATAGAATAAGGGTACTGGGAGAACAGATGATTTAAAGTAGTGCACGATGTAAAGGATACCACTTGATGCTACTGTAGGGTTTCGTGGTATAATGTTGTCTAGCACTCAGGATGGATGGAAACTCTAAGGTGGTCTTCTTGTATAATATAAGTTATATGGTAGACAGTCTGGTGCTGGAGATGCCGTGTGGTGAGGAGCTGCTCAGTAGACACGTTCGGTGAGTAGCGTGTTGAAGGAGGTAGATGTGCAGGAGCTTCGTTAGAGAGGATGTTGCCTGTTGCTGGCCTCCTGGTTGAATGAGAGCGGGACAGTGAGGAGCTTGCTGGAGGAGGTGTTGCGTGTTCAGGAACGTAGAGTAGAATGAATCTCAATGGAGAGACAGAGCTTATATACACAGCCGCCGGAAGTAAACCCGTGGGAAGTCGCCGGTTTCTTGACTCCGTTGCTAGGGAAGACGTGGCTGGTTGCTAGGATACTGTGGCATCTGGTGACGCCCCCCCCCCCCTGGGCCGCTCGTTTGGTTGCTAGGGAAGACGTAGCAGGTGGCTGGTTGCTAGGATACTGTGGCATTGGAATGCGGCTACACAGTTGTCGGGGAGACGTCCACTACACTACTCTGCAGTGTGGTGGATATAGAACAAGAAAGATGCCACTTTAGAACTATTAAATGTACAGTAGTTGGAAAAGATACACATATTTGATAAAGGAGAAGGAGAGTGAGAAGGACAATGAGAAAAGGAAAATCAGACACTGAAAGACATGATTACTTCAGCCAGCAGAGAAAATTTGATTGATCTTACCCCGTAATCATAAATTTTAACTGTAGCGATCATACTCGTATCTTAATTTTTTCAGGTATGTCTATAGTTTTAATTCATTGGATTTTATTTTGTTTTTAGTGTAAATAACATTTGGACTTATTTGTTTTCATTATTAGGTTTTATTTTAAACCACATGCCAAAAAAACAATAATTTTACCTCTGTTTTATCCAATCACTGACGTCTATTATTCTCAGAATCATAATCTATCTATGTTACCCAACACCTGAATTCCTTTTTTAACACCCATTCACCCAACATGTAGCTTTATATCCCAAACTCAAGTTTTTCATTCCTTGCAGATGGTCTTGGACAAAGTACATTCCTGTGTCTCCCACCTTCACTGGCTTCTCAAGAAAAATAAAATAACCTTTTAGACAATGTCATTAGGTAATGATTTTAATAATGACCTTGACCAGTGAGGCCCAGCTTAACGTTAACAGATGAACAAGAATTCAGTGTAACGATCTTAGTGGTTTAAGGTATGAAAATTAAATGAATGAGCTTCTATTCGATATAATGACCAAAATTCTTAGTAAACTAGCTTGTATTATCATTCATGGAGTCGGGCTAGTAATCCATTGTCTGTTTAAGCAGCCAGCCAGGCTAATGCACTCACAGACGGGTTTTCTATACAGAACTATGAGGCAGGGGCGTTCCTTGTGCGTGGCAGAAGGGGCAGCCGCCCTGGGCGCCAAGGTAAGGGGGGCGCCAAATCGCCTATGAATTTTTTTTAAATGTTATTTTCAAAGGAAGATAACAAAACGAAAAGATTACTCTAGCAGAAAAGCCTGTACTACTGCTACACTGGATAGGTTAATTCATAATCTCCAATTTATAATTAATATTGGATAAATAAACTTACTCTAGGATTAAGAGTAAAATCTGGTCAATCTGTCATCAGAATTGTCCAAGATTATTAGTGAATCTGCTTACTTGGAGAGTAAAAGAATTTTATAAGGAAAGGTTAAGCAAGCCACTGGGTTATGGTATTTTCTAAACTGAATGTAGACTATGTATGTTTTGAGCAGCAAATTGGTGATTACTTATAGACAGTTATTCCAGTACTTCCTTAACTGAATGTAGACTATGTATGTTTTGAGCAGCAAATTGGTGATTACTTTTAGACAGTTATTCCAGTACTTCCTTAACTGAATGTAGACTATGTATGTTTTGAGCAGCAAATTGGTGATTACTTTTAGATAATTATTCCATTTCTTGAAGTTAATTTGTTCAAGCCTTGATACAACCATAAAATTATACATCATCATCAGTGTCTTAGCAATCCTTTATTTACTATTATGCTACAGTATTTATATGAATTAAAATTTATTTGATATAATTATTTGCGGTGGAAGTGTGGTTGTGGGGAGTAGAGGTCAGTGGTGGTGGGGAGCCGTTAGGGGAGGAGGGGGGGGCAAATTCAGCCATTGCCCTGGGCGCCATCAAGGCTGGTTATGGTGTAGCAGTTAAAAGTGAAGTGTTCGGTAAAAATGAAGTGTCAGATGTACGACTCATTCGGACAACGGCGGACAGCAGTCAGTTGGCGTTGCTCCACAGTCAACCTCAATTGAAGTCAATTCTGCTTACCTGAGATGATGGACATGCATTCCTATAACACGTACGTGCTTATACATTTGGTATTGCTTAAATTATATTATTTTAATACAATTTAGTGAGTGTTACCCTAAGGTCAGGGTGTTGTGTGGATGATATTATATTAATACAGATTAGTGAGTGTTACCTTAAAGGCAGGACAAAGCGCGCCCGAAAGTTATAAACATTTAGATCTCCCTATGCTGAGCATTTTGAACCCCATATATACCAGGCTGGAAGGAAGGTGTGGGTGTGCTTATTTATGTTGTATGGGGCAAGTGTAGGATTGACTTGCTACCGGTCTGCATTTTAAGAAAAGTTTAATGTTTTAAAACTGAGACGTGATTCTGATTCGCTTTTTTATCAAGGATTTCAAAAATAAACTTTGTTTTGCTCTAGCGCGTCACACTTTATTACCAATCAGACAAGATAATATAACTTATACATATACAAATACAATATACAAATATGACAAGATAATACAAATGAGACAATTCAGTAGTCTTCAAAGTTAACTAAACCTAAAGAATATTGTGATTAAGGCTATTTGCCTGCAAATACAGAACTAAATGGTATACAGTATATGAATATGTATGAAAAAATTTAATTGACTTCAAGGGTGGATGAAACTTTTTTTTTCGGTTTTCTGGCAATCTTTTCACTGCACAATCTCTCTTCAGCATCCAGCAGTAGTCTGCCATCATGTTCACATTCCACCTTCCTTGATACTTCTTTTCCACTTCCTTAATCACCGGCCTTAATGTTCTGGTGAAATCTTACAACCTGCTCTTCACTTAAACTACCAAAATTTTCAGGAAAATACTCACGATGGGAATGTAAGAAATGCACTTTTACACTCATATTGCAACCCATGTTTTTAAAGTTATTCAACATACCTTCAACAATGTTTTGATAGTTTAGATCTTTTTTATTGCCTAAAAAACTATACATAACATTTTTGAAACTATTCCATGCTTCTTCCTCACACTGGTTCATCGATTCTTCAAATTGGTGTTCCAACATTAAATTTCGTATTTGAGGGGCCACGAAAATGCCAGCTTTGATTTTTTCATATGTAACTGATGGAAATTCCCTTATCTAAGGCTTTTACAAATTGTTTCATTAACCCTAATTTAAGATGCAGAGGAGGCAGCAGCACTTTCTTAGTGTCAATCAATGGTTCTTGTAGAATATTTTTTGAACCTGGCACAAGAGCCTGTCTAGGTGGCCAGTGTTTTTTGTCCCAATGTTCACGTCTTGCTCTGCTGTCCCACTCACACAAAAAACATGGTATTTTCGTGTATCCACTCTGTTGACCAAGCAATAAAGCATTGACTTTGAAATCTCCACAAACCAACCAACCATGATCTTTATCATGAACTTTCTCTTGAAGTATCTGCAACTTTTCAAAAGTTTCCTTAAGATGAACAGAGTGAGCCACAGGAATTGATGAAAATACATTTCCATTATGAAGTAAAATTCCTTTGAGACTTGTTTTTGAAGAATCGATGAACAACCTCCATTCATTAGCTGTATAGGATATGCCAAAATAGTCACTTAAAGCAGACACATTACTGCAATAAACCAAGGAGCCTTCCTCTGAAAAATTGAACTAGTTCTTGTTCACGTTGCCTATACCATGAAAAATATGTCCCTTTGGTCAACAACTTCTTTGATTTCAACCTAGATCCTAAAAGTTCAACAGACTCCTTTGGTAAAATAAAATCCCTAACCAGATCGATAAGTTCACTCTGGGTAAACACCTCGGGTAATCACGAATATCTTCAGGTTGATAATCATTACTTCCGTTACCTGACGATGAATCATGGTCAGATTCTGATGACACGGACTGCAACACATCTGGCGGAATGGGGCCTGGAACCTCAGGACCATGTGGCACTGGTCTCATGGCAGATGGAATTTTGGGATAAATGATTCCTTGTTTTTTTTGTTTTTTTGCATTATATCCTTCTATCTTCACAGAGCAAAAATAACAGTCATCACCATGATTTTTAGGCTCCTGCAATACCATAAGGTCTCCAAATGGCATAACTTTTTTCTTACCATATTTCCACAGTCTTAAACCTTCAAGACACGTGCGACATACTTTATGTGGCGACCATGGTTTATCTAAATCACCTATTTCACTCCAAAGTAGGCAAAATATGCATTTTTCACGGATGCGATTATTTCTTGTCGTTGCTTATGCACAACAAAGCACCCATATATGAGCAGAATACGTTTGGATTGTTCAAACGTCCACGAGAAGACAACAGGAATAGTATCCTAGTAGAGCAAAACAAGGAGATTTAACATTACATCCACAAGGAAAGGAAACAACTTGATTAGGTAATTCAATAAAATATTCTTCTCACGACTTGTAATAAGAGCCCTATACACAGCACCACTTAGTATATTTTTCCTTTTCATAATGATCTCTCACCATATAGCTTTATCATACAAATGACCATTAGAAAAATTTACATTGTCTACAAGAGAAATAAGAGAATTCCTCACTAATATAACCACACCTCTACCAGGTTCATTCTGCACATCATCGAATTTACGATTTAACTTTCACTAAAAAACTGATGGAATTTTATGTTTACCAGTAAATTAAATTTTAAATACTAAATTAATTAATTGTATTATCAGAGTTTACTAGCCTATTATACCACTTATACACTGGACTGGTATATATTTATTTCCCTTTATTATCTATATTTTATAATATTTCTGGCTTCACTGCATTTTCACTTCCAACAACTTAATTAATTAATTGAATTATTATACATTCAAATGCATGGAAGTCGAATACAGTATAATGCTACTATCAGTCGCCACTCACCAGCTCTGCTCACCACGGAATCTCAGAGCGTTCTGCCGGGAGTGCCGTACGATATGTTGGACAAACACTTCATTTTTACCTAGACTTCACTTTTAACTGCTACAGTGACACTATAGTCATAACGGCATATACTCGAGCAGCGAGCCTGCGGGGCTTACCCACTCAGCGTGGTAATTAAACATTTTGATGGTTCTACATATGCCTTGTTAATTTGGAAAATTAGTATAAAATAACAGCATTAGCCAATGTATGTCAGATAATTTATCCCATTTTTTCCTGATTCTCCCAGAAACACCAAAAATGTTTTATACCATGTATGAACTGTACTACAGCTTTCAAGTTCTAAAAATGTCTACCAAGTGCTGTGCGCCGCCAGACATAAGCTTACATACAGTAAGCTTACATCTTGCAATTTATTTATTATACAAAATATCACAGAATTATATTTTCAGTGTCAAATTGCTCTGAGAACATGCAAAAAATGTACTATTAGCCAGACGTATATTTTCAGACTCTTACTTTCCAGCATACATGGTCCCTGACTGGTGACTGTATCAGTGTGATGTATATACCTAATAATAGTAGTAATAATAATAATAATAATAATAATAATAATAATAATAATAATAATAATAATAATAATAATAATAAGGAAGAGAGGAAAAGATATGGTAATTTATGGTAGGAAAGAGTAGGATAATGTAGTATATAATGAAGTATGAGGAAGTTGGGAGGAAAGAAAGAAATGATGGAGAAGACGGAAGGGTGTGTGTGTATGATGCTTGCAAAAGTAAATTCCATTGTAAGGAATTCATAAAAAATAATATATTCAACATCATAATTTTTCATCTAAAAATCAAATTCCATTGAACGACAAATGAATAAAAAAATAATAAATATCATTTTTTCTTCTCAATTCTTACATTTTTACCCCTTTGATTTTTTTTTCTTTCATTCTTCAAAATTTAACATTTGTATGTGCAAGAGGTTTGAATAATAGACCAGGTTCTTTGGAGACTTTACTCCTGCAGCATCAGACAGTGACTGGCAACCCGGCGCTGCCACAGACAAACTCCCGCCTCCACACATGGGAAAACATATCGTACAATGGTACTCCATTTCACATCTTACCCCCAAGTTAAAAGGAAATGACAATGCACAATTGAACTAACAAAAGGAAAACAATGCAGTGATAAAAAACAATAATGCAAGAAAACGAACAAACAATGACATGTTCGTAAGCTCGGAGAGAGCGAATAAGAAAGGGAAAAAAAACAGAAAGAAAATAAAACCTCAAAACTAGATTTACACCACACACACACTACACCACAAAGTCAGCCAACCAACCCGGGTGGGTGCCTGCAGCCTCTCCCAGGCCTGGCCACGGCCGACTGGGAAGGGGCTGGGGGTGCGAGCGAGGGCGCGGGTACAGAGGGCACCACAGAAGGGGGGCCAGGAGGCATAGCGTGGTGCACCACAGGAGTGGTAGGCACTAAGGTGGCGCCGCATCACAAGTGGCATCTGTTGCAGATGGACACCCTGCCAATGCCAGTCAACCTGACGGCATACTGCCTGTTAGGGTGGGCTTCCACCACTATGGCCGTCCTGTCCCAGAGTTTGGTAGCGGCGTCCTGCACACACACCTGCGCGCCCACAGCTAGGGGAGCCAGCTGGCGGAACACCTCCCCCCGTGTCTACTCTCCTCCTCCAACTCCACCTGATGAAATCCCCAGAAGGCGTCGGCGACGGTTTTGAACGAGTGCACTGGCACCCCGGACACCATGTCGAATGGTGCAGGTGTGTGGTGCGTCTCCCTCCGACAGCTTGCATTGAGGCGTTGGAAGTCTACAGTGCGCCGGGCTGACCATTTTTCTTGGCCACCACGACCATCCTGGCGCACCACTCCGTAGCCTCACCAGCAGGCACTGGCTGGATGACGCCTCTCCTGACGTCCTCCTCCAACTGGGCCTTCACCTCCGCTTCCCAGTGTTTCGGAATGGGAGCAGGAGTGTGACAGGCGTGGGGGGTCGCTCCGAATGTCTGGTGGATACGGTGAGGGGGACCAGTCATGACTGGCAGTGGGGACCTGCTGGTGTTGAATGCGGTGGATGAAAAGTGCGTGAGCAGCCATGCCTCCAACCTGGCCACATTCTCCTCCGAAGGAGGTAAGGGCATCTCAACTGGCCTAGGAGGGACTCGACTGCTCCCAGATCCAGGTTTCAGAGGTAGGTCGTCAGCAGTGTGCTGCTCCCGTCCATCGCTCATGGCAGCCACAGCACGTCTATGGAGCGGTAAGTCGACAGGCACCAAGTTGAGGCACTTGCAGGCCTCCAATGACAGGTAGAGGGCCTTGGCTGTCTTTATGAAGAAGACCTCCTGGACGGCGGACCCCTCGCTCACACTGAGGCGGCAGGGGGCAGACCCCAGACACTTGAGCTGTTTGTTTGCCACGTCCCTCAGGCCATTACGGGCCCGAAGATGCCCCAGGCACAAACCGATGTTCTGGAGCAGGGATGGCCCTGCCACACACACCATAGCACCCAGCCCCCAGCCTGGGTCACAAACACTTGTAACCTGGGGTGGCGGGATAGCTGGGCTGCTGCCACTGTGACAGCACCTGACATCCACAGAAGCACTTAGGGCTGTCTTACTCCTACAACACCTTTTGAAGTGACCAACCTTAGAGCAATTGCGATATGTGGCCCCACTTGCAGGACAATTGCTTTTGCCTGAGGCATGTGTCACGCCGCAGTTCCCACATTGCGCGCGGCTGGGGTGTCCAGGTCGGGCGCCAGCTACCTTAGACTCTCCCGTGACGTCATCACCAACCGCCGCTGCCTCCGTGGCTGTTCCAGCCACTGCCTCTGTGGCTGTTCCAGCCACTGCCTGGCCAGACGCATGACACAATACAGCAGCATCTCTCACTGCTGCCTCAAATAACGTACACTTGTTTCTAAGCACTTCAACTCTATTATAACTCGAGTTCCCCTGGAAAATTTCCCTTTTCCACACTGGGTTACTCAGGCCCACCATAACTTTACATAATATCATGTACTCAGAGAGGTCGTTATCACAGGTAGGAAATTTAAATTCACACTCCACTGCCTCTGTGAAGCATCGTTGAAAGTACCTTTTTATGGGCTCCTCTTCACCTTGTTTGGTGTTGAAAAACTCGTTCCATTTCACAGCTTGGTTTGACGATTGAAGAACCATTCCACTGATGATGTCCAGGGCTTCCTTCGGCAAGAGCTGCTCCCACTGACCGCTAGGATATCTCGAGTCAACCACCCTTTGGAGTGCAGAGACGCAGTTCAGGCAAATGTGGAGTGTAGCCACCAGCTGTGACCATCCGTTCAACATCACCCACGACTCCTTAGACCACCTCCACGTCCTAAACGCCGCTGCTGGCATTTCTGCCTCACACTTCTCTGGAGCGACCGCTGCTGAGGGCTTCATAACCGGCGTAGGGGCTTGACCGGGGCCGCCAGTAGCTAGAGACGCCATCTGAGCCATCAATGCACTCATGGTCTGCTGCTGGGCGCGCGTGGTGTTCCCCGCCGGTGTATAGATGTCCTGGCGTCTCCTTGAGGGCGTCGAGAATCGTGGACGTGTAGGGGCCATGTTGGCGTCCTCATCAGGGCTGTTATGGCGTGTCAGGTCCCGGCATCCTACTCCCTGCGCCATGTGAGAGGTTTGAATAATAGACCAGGTTCTTTGGAGACTTTACTCTTGCAGCATCAGACAGTGACTGGCAACCAGGCGCTGCCACAGACAACCTCCCTCCTCCACACATGGGAAAACATATCGTACAATGATACTCCATCTCACAGTATGGTACTCTCTGAAACAATCTGGGAGGCAGAGACCAACATCACACTCAGTGCACATCCAACGAGTGGTTTGGCGTCGTCTGTTACGCCTTAGTGTGTGTGCACATACATGACATCTTCTGCGTGGCTTGAAGCTGACATCTGTTGCAGGGACTTCTGCCGGGAAGTGCCGTGAAGTCAGTCTTATGGGGTTTGACACAGCAGTTGAACTCCTACCAGTCCTTGTGGTATGAATAGGCATACTAAATTTTGCAATCATTTGCCTTATAACTGCTTTTCTGAAGTCTAGCAGTGGTGGTTTTTTGCCTGTTTTCACAAGAAAGGTGAAGTAAGAAATTATTATTGACAAATCAAGGATGCTAAAGAAAAGTTTTTGTATCACTTTAGAGATTTCCTCATGCAATTGACACTTGTGAGCATCATGTCAGCTTTATCAACAAGTCCAGCTTTGCATGTATAGTCAACCACTGCAGCAGGTTTCTGTATTACTTTGTAGCGTAATATATGTGGCCAGTTGTCTAATTTATCTTTGTGTTTGTCTGTTTTCTCTTTGTTAGGCTCACATACATATGTACATGGAGGAGATCTCGCACTACGGATGGAGGTGAGAAAGGAAACTCACAATGGCGTTTTCTTTATATATATTATATGTACAGAGCAGTCAGGTGCTGTGAAGTTGCTTCGTAATAAAGGAGTTGCTGTGGAGGATCTTTAGAAGAAGTCTTCTCTGCTTAAGAGCCTGGTGTTGTCTGCCCTCTTAACTTGACTTGACGTCAGTAGATGAGGTAGAGAGCTATTGCTTGAAATGCTGAGTGGGAGGGCAGGGATTAGGATTGGAAGTACTTTGGTGGCAATTTGAGGGAGGGAGGACTGTTTTAGGACCAAGGAAAAAGAGGGAGGAAAAGTGAAGGAAAGTAAGAGATTGACAGTATCCGGGCTCAACCAGATGTGCTGAGGTTATAATAATTATATTTGAACTTACATCTTGCGTGATTAGGTTCTAGCTCTCAAGCCTTTGTCATACTTAGTTAAAAATATGTTTATTTTGAGGTAACCATTGTTCCAAGGAAGGGGTGATGACCTCTAGCCAGGTTCTTGTGGAGCTGGCTGAGCAACGTATCTTTTGTTTTAATAAAAGTGGAAGGAAGGGGCAAGAAAACAAGGGTTGGAGAGGCCAAGGATAGTGTCCTTTGATCACTCTCATCTTTTAATGAAGCGTTTTGTTTATAGTAGGGAAGTTTAATTTCTAAGAAGAGGTGTAGGATCCAACTTGCTACCTTTGTTCACAAGGAGGTGGTCCTATCTTTTTGGTTTAATTGAAAGATTGAAGCTTGACTTGAAGGTACAGTATTTAGTGGCTATACAGTTCTTTTGTTTTTGTATTGAATTTGATAATTTTTAGATGTATTTTGGTATTGGTGGTGGGTTGTCGACTCTTATTCTGCTTAATCTGAACCAAGCGTGTTCTTCTCTTGCTCTTCTTACTGGTTCGTTGTCGAGCCAGTTTGCTACAGTTTCTGAGTCTAACTCTCGTACTTTTTCCCATGTTCTTTTGGCTTGGATGTAGATGTCTACGTTTACTGCGTTAATGTTGGCTCTTCTATGGAGTTCTTCGTTTGTTACTCTTTTTTCGTAACTGATGTTATATATGAATCTTAGGGTTTTATTTTGTACCGTTTGAAGTTTCTTGATTCTCGTTGCGCTAAATGAGTTGGTTGGTACAAGCGGGTAGCACATTACTGATTTTATTAGTGCCGTGTATAATTTCCTTTTGTTTGGTATGTTCAGTTTTTTAAATCTTCTTATTTCTGACGGTTTGCTACGTAGTTTGTGGACTTTTTCGTTGATGAAGCTCTGGTAACCATTTGTTGAGAGTTTCAGTCCCAGGATGATGCCTTCGTTGGTGTATGGGTAAATTTCTCCATCTACTATTATTGGTTCGACTTTTTTCTTGGCAATTGGTATGATTTTAAATTTGTTGATGTTTGTCCGTATTTTCCACTTCTTTTCGGAGTCGTTTATGTTTTTTATTGCTAAGGCCGTATGGCGTGCCATCATTGCTTCTGCTTTTCCTGGATATGATATGATTTGTGTGATGTCATCGGCAAAGATAATGTGTTCGCTATGTTGCGTTGGTTCAGGTAAGTTGCTCGTATATATGGAGAATAGTGTTGGGGATAGGACGCCTCCTTGGGGCACTCCGCTTTCTAGGTCGAAGGGTGGACCTAAATGGTTGCCAATTTGGAGCTGTGCTGTCCTGTTTTGAAGGTAGTCACATAGGATTCTTTCTATTTCTGCAGGTAGGTCTGGTTTTAGTATTTTATATGCTAGTCCGTTGTGCCACACTTTATCAAATGCCTTTGCCACATCTCTTAAGACTATGTTTACTTGGTTTCCTTGCTGTTTTTCTTTGGCTATTTCTGTTATTATTGCTATTGCCGTTTGGGTTCCTCTACCTCTTCTAAAGCCGTGTTGTCTTGGGTTGAGTTTGTTGTGGTTAACCAGGAACTTATCTAGTCTGTTATTTAGTATGCGTTCCAAGAGTTTCCCGGTTATTTCCAGTAAGGATATAGGTCTGTAGTTTATTATCTGCTTTGGATCCTTGCCTTCCTTGGGAATGAAGATCATTTTTGCCCGCTTGAGGGCATCGGGAAAGTAACCAGCGATAAGGTTGGGTTGTAAATATTTATCAGAGCTTCCATTGGTCTGCTGGGCAGGTTTAATAACATGTTTCGGGTTATGCCGCTCATTCCAGGGGATTTTTCTTTAAATTTGCGTAGGCAGTGTAATAGTTCGTCGTGATTTATGAATTTATTGGGTCTTAGTCTTTCTGGGTTTCCTGTGTGGTAGGGAGTTAGTCTATTGTTTTGTTCTCTTAGCCAGTCATTAATTAACTCCTCGTGTTCTTCGCCAAAACTTTCGTTTTCTTCTTCTGATATTCTGAAGATCTTCCATTCTCCTCTGAAGGCTTCTTCTTTTTCATGGTCTGTGTAGAGTTTTTGTCCGTTATGGTCTTTAATGTAGTTTATTGTCTGTTTTTTCGTGCCAAGTAGTTTGTTGATGTTTTACCAGAAGTTTTTTGAGTCCTTTGTGGTGTCTATGGTTTTTATTAGATTGTTCCATTTCACGGCGAGGCTGTGAGCTTATATACACGTCCACCGGAAGTAAAACCGGAAGTAAGCGTTGCTGGTGACCGACCCCCCGTGAATCTAGACGGCTAGGCTTGTCAGAGAAACGACGCGGGATCCGCTGATCAGCGACTAATGGCAGTAGGGGAGAGTATCCACTACAACGCTTATGACAAATAGAGGAGAAAATATTGTGATTCGGACAACAATATATTAGTATAATTGTTAGATCAGTTTCATATCTACTTAACATTTATAAATTATAATGAATTTTAAGGGTAAATATATATGTGTACAGTTCATTGACTGATACAGTGTTGCTGAAACTTGACGGAAAATTGGTGGAGATGAGGGTGCAAGTTTTTTTTTCTTAAGTCTAAATGGCATAAATTGATTTGTGCTGATGACTGTCAAGTGTGCCTCTGATAACTTTGCCAGAGTATTTGAAACATTATCACTGATAGCTTGAATCAGTATGATAAGAACTTAATATGAAAATATCCTTTGCTCTGATTCTTCAAATATCTTCTGCTTTGTAATTTTGATATAAGACAAACTATAACCTGCCAGCCGAGTGTGAGCTCTTTCAAGTCCAGACTTGACCAACACTGGAGCACGCACCAAGATGGGACCACTATGCCTCCTTATGCTTACCAATGATGCCCTAAGAGAAATCCCTGCTCGCTGGAAATATGTCGACGACTCCACCATTGGGGTCAGCGTCAACAATTCTGCTCCCGACTATACCGCCCTTCAGGATTTATTGAACAGTCTCCAAAACTGGGCCACCAACAACCATGTCACCATCAACCATACCAAGACCATGGTTATGCACATCAACCTCTCCTCCGACGTTGTCCCACCCCCTTCCATTACTTTAGGTCGCAACACACTCCAGGTTGTAGATTCCACGAAGCTCCTCGGCGTC